GTGGTTCTTTGCCTCCACGTTGTGCATTAAAATCGTTTAATGCACAGCTAGCCATGCATTATCCCTTACCCTAATCCAGGATCTAAGCTCAGGACACAGGACAGCATTAAAAACAAGTTTCTATTCTCCTGAATGTTTCTGTGTGTATGCAGCGTGATGTCTGATCTCTCTTTCTGCGTGTGTGCGTCAACGAAATCAGCGCATTAATACAGAACGGTGATATAAACTGACTTGGAACTACCTGTGTATTAAACTGTTTTAATACATACCTGCCAGCCAATCAGAATAGAGTATTCAGACAGACCATGGTATAAGTTATTGAATAGGAGCTTTAGTGTGACTGTTACAGGCATTAAAGGGAACGTTCACCCAAAAATGAAAATTCTGTCATTAATTACTCACCCTCGGCTGCCGCTTTACTTTCATTTTGTGTTTGTTTATTTTATTAAAGTTTTCTTTGAGCGTTCGCCGGTTCCCGCCCCCTTCTTCCCGTGACTACGAACTTTGTTACATTGGTGCCGAAACCCGGGAAGAAGGAGGGACACGCTGCCATAAAAGGAGTGACGACAGTGTTGGACGAGAGAGGACCAGGCCTGGATTTTATTTTGTGTTTTGGTTCTGTTTGTGCTATTTTGTGTTTGTTTATTTTATTAAAGTTTTCTTTGAGCGTTCGCCGGTTCCTGCCTCCTTCTTCCCGAACTACGAACGTTGTTACAACCCCATAGACATCAATGCCACTACCACCTCAGAAAGGTATTAAAGTCATTGTTAAAATAGCGCATCCAGGTCTCTGTCAAAATGCCGGCTCCTGCATCAGCACCTCTCGTGAATGCATGTCAGAGACATGATAAATTGTTGAAAAAGTATTATCGTCACTTCATAATAAAGGTTGAACCACTATAGTCCTTATTTCCTTTCTGGGCCTTGAGTTAGTAGTTGCATTGCTGTCTATGCAGGATCAGAATGCTCTTGGATTTTATCAAAAATATCTTAACTTGTGTTCTGAAGATGAATGAAGGTCTTACGGGTTTGGAACGGCATGAGGGTGAGTAATTAATGACAGAATTCTCATTTTTGGATGAACTAACCCTTTAAGGAGAAATAAAGCATAAAATGTATTGAGCACATTTCTATGAGTATTTGCTACATCACACAAAGAGGCAATGAATGTGTGCAGTTGTTATTTTATCTTTGTTTTCCTAGAAAGAAAACAAGTACCGATCATATCTACTCGTCAGATGACGAGGCAGCAGAACAACCACCCATTAAAAAAAGAAAAGCTGCAAACAAAGCAAGTGTTCCACCTGCACCAAAACCTCCAGCAATTCCAAAACGCAACAAAAAAAGTAATGGAGAAAAAAAAAAATGTAATAGTAATAATAACAAAAATGAATGCTATGTAAAATTGCACATTCGTGTCGACTCAACCAGATGTTGAAAGTAAAATAAAAAGTTTTTTTTTTCCCCCGTTGAAATAATGGGGGGGGGGGCAAACCCCCCCCATTATTTCAAAAACAATGTCAAAAAAACAAAAACAATAATCTGTGACATTCAATATTTTGGTTTTCTTTCTTCAGAAAAAAATATTGAAAATTGAATTTTACTTTTATTACTAAAAGTTACAGCTATGCAATTGTTGAAGCATACAGCTGCACGGCTGCTGCTGTGCTTGGTCCTATTTTGTGTGAATAAATTCGAGGAATCAAATGAAGATGTCTGCAATGAACACAGGGATTTCTGTTCCTACATTTCCATAGTCCATATCGGATTGTAGAAGTAACCGATACAATATGAGTGATATAATTCCAATCTTCTGAAGAGTCATAATCGCTTTATATGATAAACACATTTTTTATTTGTATGCAACTGTCCCTTTAAGATTGTGAACCATCGTTAACCGACTTAAACTGCTTCGTTCATATGCATTACATTTACAATTATGACATTATCATTTTGAAGAATGCAAGTTATGGGGAAATGCCCTGTCAATGGAGGAACATAAATCTCACAATTACACAAATTATAAGTGCAACTTTCCTACTCCACCTTTCTCAGCTCCACTGCGTGTGTCTCAGCCAGACCATCACGGAGATGGCTGGTGTGTTGATCAACCTAACACATAAGGTAAAAGAGCATAATCAGGGATAAAGGAAATCTGAAACACATTCACAGCATTTAAATAAATCTTAAAAACTGAACAACATTTTGTGTTCAATCCATAGAACACACCTTCGCTGTCCTGAGACCCTCGGGACCACCAAGGAAGAGCCCAGAGTAAGTTAATTGCACATAAATCCACTTTTTAAATTTTTTTAATTTGACACCCTTCACAGATCCTTCTATTATTTAAAATAAAAGGAGTGGCTCATTTTTTTTACCATTATTGGGCACTCTATACACACACTGCAGGCACAAAAGTTTTCAAAACCAAAGTAAATGTGAATTTTGTGGCATTAACGTGGCATGACAGATCACGGTTCAAACTGCAATTGCAATGTATCAATGAACATTAAAATAACTGCAAAGTTATTAAGTAGTGTATTTAGTAAGGGTGTAAGGAACCATCTATCAAGTGTCTAACGGTATTAAGGCTGCACGTAAAAAAAAAAAATACACACACATATCTGTCCTGCAGATGGCGCTGCAAGCTCATTCCGTCCATGATGTTTTAGAAAACAATCTTTTCGCAGTTTATTTAGTTCATTAATTAAGGCAGTGGTTCCCAAACTTTTTCTGCTGGGCCCCCCTTTTTTAGAGAAAAATATTTTCTCTACAAATATTTATATGCTCACCAAGGCTGCATTTATTTATTAATATATATTAAACGCTAGTGAAATGTGTCAATTTAAAACATCTATTTGAATGTTTTAACATATACTATATTCCTGTGATCAAAGCTGAATTTTCAGCATGACATGATTACAAAATTATATATATGATTTGAAATATTGTGATTAACATAGCAGTGTTTCCCCTAGGTTTATGGCTTTGGGGGGGGGTGTTCCTTTTTTTTCCCCGTTTTTTTTCTGGACTCCTTTTTAATGGTTAAATTACATTTTATTAATCAAACCGCACCTACTTGCCGTCTTAACTTGTTTGGCTTCATTACCCACCTTCATACTGGTGAATCTGAGGGCGAGATATGCATAACGTTAGTCATATTTTCTTGTCTTTTCACCAGACTGGATGCGACGGCCGCACCGCAACAGCTGATGTCAATTGGACGCAACAAAGTGAACATTGCAAATCCAATTGTCTTTTGTGTCAGAGCGTTTACTGTCATGGATTTGTCATGTCGCGTCGCACCGCATCCACAGCATCACTGGGTTCTATTTGCTTTTTGTCACATCGCGTCGCTCGCGTCTGGTGTAGACAAGTTGTTTTGGTATTTGTGAATCTTAAGCATATTCACCATCTGCATCACTGGCAGTATTTTAACACACTTGTAACTTAACGTTACTTGTTCAGAGCAGAACCATGCATCATTCATTTATATTTATACATGTCTCCCTGCAATGCAACTCTGATTGTTCAATCACACCATCTAGTGGTCTGTTATTGATACAACCCAAACAGCTACAACTGATAACTGAGTACTGCCAGTCATGTTGAGGTAATTAAAATATGTCTGGCTTAAGGCCATTTGTACGGAAGTTCTAAGTGGCCATGCAATATTATTTTTTTTCCTTCTCGTTTTCTCGTTATAACGACTTAATTTTCTCGTGATCTCGACATAACGAGAGTTGTTTTCTCGTTATAACGACTTAATTTTCTCGTGATCTCAACATAACCAGAGTTGTTTTCTCGTTATAACGACTTAATTTTCTCGTTTCAGGTCAATAGTGCCACCTGTTGGCGCAGTTTTGTAACTTAGAGAACAACTTTTGTTATGTCGAGATCACGAGAAAATTAAGTCGCTATAACGAGAAAACAACTTTCGTTATGTCGAGATAACGAGAAAATTAAGTCGTTATAACGAGAAAACAACTCTCGTTATGTCGAGATAACGAGAAAATTAAGTGTTATAACGAGAAAACAAGAAGGAAAAAAAATATATTGCATGGCCGCTTAGAACATCATGCAAGCAATAACCAGCATTACCCTGACCACCAACCCCATGCCCACTCCCCTCAAATTTTTTTTATTACTGATCTGCATGATTCACGTGGGTCATGATTTTAGACCGAAGAAAAAAAAAACGGAATTCTGGCTGCTGAGTGTGTTGCAGGCCTTAGTTTGTTAATTTGCAAAATGTAACAAGCATATCTTACCCACTCCATCTTTCTCAGCTCCAGTGGGCGTCTCTCAGGCAGACCATCATGGAGACGGCTGGAGTGCTCATCCACCTGACACACAAGGTAAAAGAACATTAATTAGAACAAGGAAGAGAAAACACTAACTCACAGCCCTTCACACAATCTTAAACTGAATAACATAATATTTTGTATTCAATCCGTAGAGCACACCTTTTCTGTCCTGAGACCTCTTTCTCAGCTCCAGTGGGCGTCTCTCAGGCAGACCATCATGGAGAAGGCTGGAGTGCTCATCCACCTGACACACAAGGTAAAAGAACATTAATTAGAGTAAAGGGGTGATCACACTGCACTTTTCCTTCCATTGACTTCCATTAATACGCATGCGAATGCGTCAAACCGGAAACGCAAACTTGTGTGAAAAGTTTCACATTTCGCTGCATTCCAAAGTTCAAGCTGGGTGAACTCTTGACCTGTGAATTCACATAACGTGAAACTGTATGACCAACAGCAGTTTGATAAATCACAGCATGACCTAATAGCTGAATTAAAAGAACATGAATGTAAAACTGCAGCGCTGCAGGAAAGTGGAGTAGATTGTATGTATTTTACATTTTAAATGTATTATTATGCGTTATGTGTTGAATTTAAGTTTTTAAAACGACTCTGCAGAGCATGACATCATATCACGACCATTGCAGCATCCAAGGAAACTTTGCATGCATATATTGTGTTCAGTCCGTAGAGCACACCTTTACTGTCCTGAGACCCTCAGGTGACTACCAAGGAAGAACACAGAGTAAGTTACATTTGATCGCTATAACGGTGTTGTAATCTGATGATACAAAAGGACCCATGATAAAATGCACATCTTCCATGAATGGCTGGGTAAAAAGGGTTTAGGAGCATACTGTGTGAAAAGTCGCATTTTTAATAACCTAGATTAATTGTTAAACCCTGGTATATGAGCAGTCTGAAACATGAAAGCTACTTTAGGATTGGGTTCACCCAAGTTATAGGGCCCTATCATACACCCGGCACAATGCGGCGCCAGGCACGACGCAAATGTTTTTTGCTAGTTTCAGGCCGACGCAGTTGTCATTTTCACGTCCTGCGCCACGTTGTTTAAATAGCAAATGCATTTGCGCCCATTTGTGCGCCCATGGGCGTGCTGGTCTGAAAACGAGTGTGTTCAGGCGCATTGTTGGCGCGTTGCTATTTTGAGGCAACTGAAATAGACTGTGCCATTGACCAACAAAAACCTGGTC